TAGAGTAAAATAAAAAAGAAATATATCTGTCCTACTGTGGTGTGGTCTAATTATATCCATATAAGTAGTAATGGTGATGGTCAGACATAGAATGGATTTTGGCAGAAGATCGATAAGGAACGAACAGGAATGAAGCTCAATCGGTACGAAAATGCATGAACAATGAAATCAGAGAAGACGGACTGATATTTGCAGAAGGAACATTGAAGATTGAGACAATTGATTGTTATTTTGCAAATTAACTGTTTACTGTATGGTTATCAGAATTTAGTGAGATAGTCTGTAATTTGTGTTTAAATACATTTTATTGTCCCCACCCTTGTTATCGGTCACAACACTAATATGACTTGTGAAATTCAACGATTTTGGGGGTTCATAAGAAGGATTCAATATCATCTCAATCTTTCAGTATAAGGACATATTATCTTTACCAGTTGGAGATTATGTTCTGCAAGTTTCATGTACTACTTATGTTTCAAGAAGTTTCATGAACTGGTTTTTATTTCCATACTGTATGATTTAGAATTGGATGCTTCTCATGGGACAACACAATGTCTTAGGAAACACGTAAATGATTAGATTGAATCCTTTTATTATTTTTCCTGCCTTCTGTATTAAGTTACGGAATGTAAACAATCCTGATTGGGAATTATTCTCTTCATATTCAGTATTATGTTAATCTTGATTTTTCTTCGTAGTTATTATTATTATTAAATTGTCATAAAAATTTTGATTTCCGACCGATTCATTGACGTCATTTAAGTTTTCAATAAATGTTTTACATTGTTTTACCTAAATTTTTTAGAGGTTGGTATATTGTCTTTTGATTTCATTCAAATGAATTGAATGCTTTTGTTCTATTTCCACCGAGACAGAAATGTATTCACTGTTTGTTAGGAACCTTTGTTGTTACTGACAGGTAATTAGTCATGTGATTTCTGTATTACTTACTGACTTACGCCTGTTACCCCTCGTCGAGGAGCATAGGCCGCTCACCAGCATTCTCCATTCAATCCTGTCCTGGGTAATTCTTCCCAGTTCGTTCCAGTTGTTATTCATTCTTTTCATATCTGCTTCTATTTACCGGCTTAATATGTTCTTTGACCTTCCTCTTTTCCTCTTCCCTTCTGGATTCCAAGTTAGCGATTGCCTTGTAATCCACATTGGCGATTTCCTTAATGTATGTCCAATTCCAAAGTCTTTTCTTAATTTCCTCTTCAGCTGGAAGCTGATTTGTCCTCTCCCATAAAACGCTGTTAGTGATAGCATCCGGCCAGTGAATGTTGAGTATTTTGCGTAGGCAACTGTGATTTTTGTATCTTTTGGTACAGTTATTATCTTATAGCTTTATTGTTCACTTTTTGAGCAACTAGAATTATTCTATCCTTTATCTGTGAATAGAGTACTGCTTTTGTTTATTAAAAACACATTGTTTTATTTGTTAGGTAATCCATCCATATTCTTAACGATTTAATCTCTCAGTTTCCTATAGTTCGACTGTAATAGATGTTGTTTTAATTGGTAACCTTGTCTGTTGAAGAATGTATTGTTCAGGAATACTTTATTTATTTTATACTTATATTTGCTTTGACGGTACTGCTTTTGTACGCTTTGGTACTATTTTGTACACCTTTCTACATCATACACAATTATTGGGAATTATCTCCTTTTGATACATTTGAACTAAGAAGTGTATGACTAAAGAATCTGTCGTTATGAAGATATTGAAATTCCTGAAATTTTCGATCTCGTAGTAAGTATTCGTTCAAGACTAAGATTATAAATATCAGGCAGTTTCAATACATTTTGAGATTGCACAATTGTGACGCCCTACTGTAATAAACATCAGAGTCAAATCCATTGATGCTATATTTTTCACATTTTTCATAGTTGAAATCATGAGTCAATTGAAGCTAGACCATCATGGAAAACCTTGAAGCACTTGACGACCTTCTCGTCCTATTATGGAACTCCTCATCAGTGCGCATCCACGACCCCGCACTCGCGAAATTCCAACCCAGGACCTATCAGTCTCGAACCAGAGCACTTAACCGATAGACCACTGGGCCAGCATCGAACGGTGTTAATGTCTAACTTCAACCAATCCACGAAGTGAGACTGATAGGTCCTGGGTTCGAATCTCGCGAGTGCGGGATCGTGGACGCGCACTGTTGAGGAGTCCCATAATAGAACGAAACGGCCTTAAAGCAGTGCTTCCAGGTTTTCCATGGTGGTCTAGCTTCAATTGACTCATGATTTCAACTATGAAAAACACTGAAACTTCCACAAAACCCCTTCTGATTTTTCACATTATTGACCTCCGTTTTCTTCGCCAAATATGCCTTGAATGTTAGTCACCAATATAGAATATTACTTATTATTACTATGATGATGATGATTAGACGTTAATGGCGACTTGAGATGACAAAGTAATTCGTCATAAACCAATGATACAATAACCAAGTGTTTCAGGAAATACTATTAAATAATTTTTCAAACTCAATCAAACATTAATTTCAGAATTGAGCGTCAACTAGGTTTTCTTTTATCAAACTTTTATCAAAACTTTCAGTCCATAAATTTTCAATTTGAACCACTGATTGATTGTTGCTAAATAAAGTGAACCCCCAAACATCCTGTCCCATTGGTCTAATTTATTATGATATCGTTATCTCTTTCCCTATTCAGACACTATTAGCAAAAGTGTAAAGTGTATGATATATTTGTAAGCTACTTATAAGTAGCATAAGTTATGTGAGTAAAATGTCTTGACGTGAAGATTTATTTTTAGTATACAACAGGCGCTCAGAAAATGTTGCAGATCTCGTCTGTTATATTGAGACAATATGAAACAGAAAAGGTTCAATGAGAATCATATAATGTCGGCTTTATTTTATAGTCTACTCCTTTTTCGGTTTTTCGGTGGCCTCAGAGATTATATCGTCAATTTGTAGACTTGTATTTCTTCCTACTTTACATTTGAACTAGGCAGAAGATAAAAGAGAACGAAATAGCATCTATTTAGAATAATGTATGGTTATTAACCGTATTTGGAATGTCAGTAAGCCTTGATATTCAAAGAAGTGTAAATAGTAGTAGCATAACTCTGTACATTTAGCAAATGACATGACCTTGGATTATGTAAAGATGTTAGAAAACTAAAAAACCAGTATAACCAATATGATAACACATGAAATTAGTATGGTGATCAGAATTACAGATAAGAGCTACCATTTATTAACAAAGATAATTCATAAGGCGTTTTATGGAGGTTTCAGTATTTTTCATGATTGAAATCATGAGTCAATTGAAGCTTGACCACCGTGAAAAACGTGGAAGCACTGGACGGCCGTCTCGTCCCATTGTGAGACTCCTCAGCAGTGCGCATCCACGATAGCATGAGTAAATGACATGTAGAGTTTAATAATTTTTTACTACTCAAGTGAGGTTACAAGAACACTAGAAATGTTATACAATCGTTACATAACACAATATGTTCAAAAAGGACTTCTTATATCAACCAGTTAGAGAAATTCAGTTCATTTATCAAATGTCAATCCTTTTAGACATTTGAATCAAAACTCAATAGTTTGATTTTCATTAAATCTCAGTGTATGTTTTTATGAGCAAAATGCTAAATTGAAATTTACAAAGTTTACTCATATATATCATTTGGATGATAATTGATATAACATAGGTGAACAATATTGAACAACTAAAGGGGCACTAGATACATATGCGTCACACAAATCTCATTTGATTTATATGAGGACTGCGATACTGCCCGGGTGCCCAAACTGAAGCAGGTGGTTTTCTTAGGGAGCCACATTCAGAGCAATCGACCTAAAGATCTGATTAACATACTTACAACTGAAAAACATCTGGAGCTCAAAACAATTGTCAACCAACACCAAGGTTAGAATTTTCAATACAAATGTCAAGACAGTTCTTCTGTATGGGGCGGAGACGTGGAGAACTACGAAAGCCATCATCCAGAAGATACAAGTGTTTATTAACAGCTGTCTACGCAAGATACTTCTGATCCGTTGGCCAGACACTATCAGCAAAAAGTTACTGTGAGAGACAACAAACCAGATTCCAGCGGAGGAAGAAATCAGGAAGGAGCGATGGAAGTGGATTGGGCACACCTTGAGGAAATCACCTAATTGCGTCACAAGACAAGCCCTCACATGGAATCCTGAAGGTCAAAGGAGAAGAGGAAGACCAAAGAACACATTACGCCGAGAAGCAGAGACAGACATGAGAAGAATGAACAAGAACTGGAAAGAACTAGAAAAGAAGGCCCATGACAGAGTGGGTTGGAGAATGCTGGTCGGCGGCCTATGCTCCATTGGGAGTAACAGGCGTAAGTAAGTAAGTAAGTAAGTAAGTAAGTAAGTAAGTAAGTAAGTAAGTAAGTAAGTAAGTAAGTAAGTAAGTAAGTAAGTAAGTAAGTAAGTAAGTAAGTAAGTAAGTAAGTAAGTAAGTAAGTAAGTAAGTATTCTCTCAATTTCGTGAACAACACCTGCGCCATGAGAAGGCACTGAATAGACACAGTATAGATTTGATCTGATTTAATTGTTAAACACTATACATTTCTTTGATAATCCTGATTTTTGATTATTACTTTGAAGAAGTCTAGACAAGTTTGTTGGACGAAACTTTGGAATAATTTAACTTTTAAATATTATTTTCACATATAATAACTTCTCTAGACTTGGAGCCCAATTTTTAACAAACTATTTGTTCTAATATTGACAAATATTCGATTATATAAGGTTTATATTGCTTAAACTAGTTTACATAGTAATTGAGCATATATATATCAAATGACCTTAAAGGTCAAATAAACAAACTCGTTGATGAAATCAGCTTATCCTTATCATTATTATTATTTATTCAGTTTATATTTTCAGTTTGACTCGAAATTCAAAATCTTTGACTAGTTCGAAAAAACAAAAATTCAAATTCAAAAGTGAAAATAATTTGTAAACAAGAAAATGGATTCAGTATATTCAAACAAAGAAATGATAGACAATTTCATTGAAGATTATGATGATATTAACGGTGTTAATGACTCCACCACTGCTACTACTCCTGATGATGATGATGATGAGGAGGAGGAGGAGGAGAAGGAGGAGAAAGACGAGGAAGAGAAAGACACAGATGTGGATTTTATACAACGACTTGGTATTGAACTACAAAAACGTATTGGTATATTACCTAAAGTTGAAGTCATTACATTAATCTTAACTAATAAACCCAAGAAATTCATAAGAATCTTATGTGTTAAACCAAAATCTTATTCAGAAATATCACGTACAATAAGAGCAGCTAGAACAATGAAGTTAATGATTCGAGCCTGTGGTCATTTATCATCTTATAATTCAATCTTATACGGTACAAAACATACTGTCCTAATTGATTGTGTTAATTTATCCGATTCCCCAAGGATTGAATTTGTTAATATCAAATGTAAAACTACTGGAAAAGAGATTCAAGGATTAAAACTATTATCATGTGTTACTATGAATGAATTAATTCATTATCAAATTAATCATAATATTGAAATTAATCAATATGTTGATACATATTCAATACAAGATACCATTGTTGGATCAATTTTATCAACACAACCAGGTATTATTGGTCCAACTGGTTCAGCATATGGTGGTTGTTTAACTGATGAAGTTATTGCTATACGTATAGTTAATTGTTATGGTGATTTAATTGAATATTCAAATGAAAAAGAAATTATGATAGCTGTTTCAAATTTAGGATTATTAGGTGTTGTATATGATGTAACACTTAGGTATACTCCAATTACATTAACAAAGGTGAGTAATTTTCATAGTGTTGCATTGAATATGATAACCATGTAGGGTTTGAGATAGCTATCCATCAATGACATTAAAGATAGTTGTGTAATATCACAAATCGATTGACTGCGAAGAAGTTAAACTTGATCTATTGAGGCTAACTGGTTGGTTTGTCCGTATGAGCATTACTACAGACAATGTGGAGTTAGAACAATCCAAATAGTGTTTACTAGTGTTTGTTTGGTGAAGCATTGCACTTTCACGGTAGCAACTATAGTTTTTCCGTAGATCATGTCTTCACGAAGTAGGACTAATCAGACGTAGAAAATATCGACCATCTTTCATACGGTACTTCTCTTTGTATTATATAGTTTCATATCGTCATTAAATGTTGGTTAGATAGATTTACTCATCAATATAGACCATGGTTATCAACCTTTTAGTTTAGTTGAATCAAATAGAATAATCTGTTTACTTGTGTAATCATTATACGATATCAACAGACAATAGATCGTATTATTGGTATAAGGGTTTGTGGAAATTGTTTAATTTTATATTTTACATCGCGGACTGATCTTAGTTAAACAGCGACAAAACCAGTAAGCCCTGTGTAGGTACTTCATCCTAGTATGAGAGTTCTCAGAAGTGAACATCCGCCAGTGATTGGATCCAGAATTTTCCGGTTTTATTACAAGCTCTAAACCTTTAGATCATTGATTTGTTACCCAATGGTTTAGATATCTATTCGAGGTCAGTCAGTGATGTAAACAATAAAATTCAACAATCTGAACAAAATGTTTACGCTAGTAGTAATCACGTTTCCACTAGTGACTAGCTTCGAAAGGGAATTCCAGGAGTTATAATTAGAATTTGTTACCACTGAACTTCAGCCGTATCTGCTGTAAGGGAATTGTAGTGAACGAGAACACAAGTGGAAACAATCGAATGGATTTGAATACAAAATTACAGGATCTTTCTATAAAATCTGAGAACCATAAAGTAAATACTTAATTTGCGAAATGTCAATCAACCGTTTCAGATTCTACTGTTCCTTCATTTCCACAGCGATCATTCACTGTTTGCGTTCTCTTTTGTTCGATCTTCTTAACCTTTTGCTGCCAGGTATTTCACTTTTGATTGGCGATACATACTACTTATATTTGTCGACATCAGTAACACATACCACAGAATTACCCACCGATGAATATAGTTGGGCTATATCGCGAATCGTTTGAAAATAAATGTATAAATCATTTGATGAAGACATAGTGATTTAAATATTGAACATTTGCCACGAGACCTGATGGTCGCGGACTCGGTCCTAGTTGTGATCATGGTGATGCGCATCTGATAAGTCCCATTCTAGGACGAAACAACCATCAAGTACTTACTAATTTTTTAATGGTTGTCGAAAGAGCTGCCGTTTATGATATAAACTGTAAAAATTCATCCTACTGATAAGCAGATAAATCCTATTATTCTGTCCAATTGAAAACATAATCATATTCCAAATAAAATACAATGAATACAATAAAGTGATATACTGGGTAGAATTACGTTCTGTAGGTCAAATAAACTGATGTAAGGATTGAATTCATTACATTAAATCCAATTCGATATTTAATATTCTACTCATTCCTTTCACTGGATTATACGCATATTCTTAAAAATGAATAGCTTTCACTATTTACTTGGTAAATTGATACTTTTCAAAGTTGGAAAGTATCCCTCTTCATAATGTCGTTTTTGTTTAAAATATCTATTCAGGTGAATTATCAATTTTACAAATGGTCGGATCTATTGAACATCGAGAATAATATACTAAAGGATGCTATAACTACTAATCAATCTATTGAAATAATCTATTTACCATATAATAGTTGTCATACTCTCTCTAGCACTAATGACAATAATGATACTCTTACTGATGCTGTTGTCGATGATGGTAATGATGTTGACGATAACTATATGGATGGATCAATAGATTTAAAAAATTGGAATATTGAAGAAGATGAATTATTGTTACGCACAACTAAACGTCTTTCACAAGATATTCATGATAATTATATTACTGTTGACATAAGAAATAATAGTCACAGTAATAATAATATTAATGATAATGATCCTTCAATCTGTTATGACTCTGATCCACAACAATTTGTTTATTTGTTAGATCAAGTATTTGGACCATCTAGTAAAGAATTGATCGAACAACCGGATAATACACCAAAATTATTGAAAAGAGCACATCATTATTTAAAGTGTAAATATTGTCCAAAGCCGACGATTATTCAATATACACCATGGGCATTAAATTCATTTGGTAAATTTAAGGAACCACTTAGAATATTGAAATTTACTATGGAAACAGATCCTGAATTAAATCGATTCACATTAGTAAGTGATATACTTAGAAGTATATTGACTTATATATATAGTAAGTGAATAAACAGTGTAAAAATGTCCAGCTTGGTTTTGACTGAATGTGTAATGTATTGATTGATAAATAAAATATTAAAAAACTGTAGATGACCAATGTAGATGATCTGTGTCGAATGATTGGGAGCCTACGTGCGTTAGACAGAAATGATGTGACCAACCAGCTAATGTCGAAGTCACGCCCCCCCGGTTAGTATCTAACCTGGATTACCCTTTCGTCGTATCCAGGCATTATGGCTACTTAGTTGACCGTACAACACAAATGAAATTATTACAGAAAAATATATTAGCAAGAATAGGTACAAGAAACAAAGTTCTACCACCACTGCATGAGCTAGTGCATGACGTACAATTAACTGATGTGCATTGGTTTTATTTGACCTTGACGAGGATCGACGAACTGTTCGATATTCAGTGACCCGACTCCGGGATGATTTGGCTAGGGCTCAGTAAAATTTCACTGGCCCTAAAAAAACTAATAAGCTAAGATGTATGATCTATTATTTCCGCGAAACTAGAAGTAAATGGGTTAGGTCTCATTAACAGCTCTTCAACATCTCTCGGTTACTTATTATACTCCAATAGGTATCAGTTTGCAATGGAGTCAAAGCGTCAAGTGATGCAAAAATTTCTAAAAGACACACTAGCAAAAATATAATATGTTTGTTTACTCCATCCAACTCCACTACTTATAAGGCTGTGAGAATTCCGTTGAAGGATCATTAGCAGTGTAAATACACTTGGTTGGTGAAACTTACATTGATAGGTGATTTTACAAAACTCTACAATTAATAAGTTAAATTTATATTCAAATCATGATTTGTAATTATTGTGGAACTTTACTGAATATGTAAGAGTTTCAGAATCTAATGGAGAATTATTTTGTAATTATTACATTACTGATGAGCCAACAAATATGTATTCAAGGTTTAATTGTGTTCTAGAATTTACAAAATGTATTTACTAAGATGATTTCTTTTCTTTTGTAACAACGCTGGGATCCAGGTACGTCCAGATGATAAGTCAGTGATAAAGAAGTACTTATGTTCCAGATTTTACTGCTAGCTAGACACGATCCAAATAGATTATTACTTTCAGGGACTATTCAACTGGTTAACAACCGTTTTTTTTATTTGGTCACGATTCTTATAAAATTAACAAAAGAATTATACGCAAACCCACAACCCGCCAAATCTTAACAGTACCATGAAGTAGCTTCTGGGAGATAGAAGAAATCCTATTTAACTGACTTTGAGTGATGGTTGTTTCAGTCTGCAAGAATGAATAGATACCTACTTGTGATAACCATAAAGAAGTCGCTCTGATTAATGCTTTGTCTATATTTAATGGTTAATTGAGACATATAGACAGAAAACGAGGGAGAAATTAAGACAGTTTTGATTAAATTTGCACACAATGTTTGGGTTTTCAAATGTAGGCGTACTTGCAAACCTCCCATCTATAGTTTATTTCTTGAATCTATCAAAAAAAAAAGGTTTTACGACATTGCTTGATAGTAAAAGGTGTTATAAGGGAGTACAAAAACTTTCTAAAGACTCTTAAAACAAAAAAACTGTCCAATCAGACCGTTATCAGAAGTGGCTGCATAAAGTATCGTTCATCAAGGTTATTCTCTATACTCCTTTTTATTTGCCTTCATCACAGATGTTCTCCAGTTTACATCTTTTCTCTATTGTCTAATATGTGCTTTACTCATCAGTTCTTTTCTGTTCTTTTCTGACATTATTTTACAAATCCCATATTAAGGCGATTCATACAATCTTAGACATACTTCATAAGTTAGCCAACGATGATTTGCCAAATTATTCAGTTAATCTTGGTCTACGAATACAATTTACACGTGGTACTAACAATGGTCATCTGTTAGGTGTTGGTTTGGAAAGTGATGAACCAAAATTAGATCGAAAAAATTTACTTTTAGCACATATCACATTTATGGGTTTAATAGGAAATGGACCAAACAAGCTATGGAATGATGCAGCTAAACAAATTAATTTAACTATGTTAACTAAAATACCGACTTGTATGCCACAATGGAAAACAGAATGGCATGTGAAACAGGTAAGATTTTGTCAAATATTATATGAGGCTTATATTTTAGTGATAATTTCTTTGCTTAAGACTCTCCGTTAGTGGATAGTAATGAATCTACGTGGAACTGAATTCAGAATTCTTGAATATCTTGACGAGTTCAATTTAACTGAACCTTGAGAAGCATAAGTTACACATTCAGAGTCATGTGTCGTAATAGGAGTATTTTTCTACTTGTTCAATGATTGTTTAGCTGACACTATATCGTCATGAATCTGACTTCCACGAAATGTGTACATATAGGCAAACATTACTGTATCATTCCAAATAACGTTAGTAGTTTACTATGTAATGGTTATAGTTACGTTAAACCAACCAAATGTAGCATAAGAACTTTATTTTCTCGTCTCTTTAATTAATCTATACCACAAAGTTGTTATTCTTCCCATACTTCCAGCAATGTTTCAGAATCATTCATTATAAAATGTACTTAGTCTTACCATGTTTGCTTTCCCCACAAACTTAAATACACGTGTCTGCTGAATTGTATAAATGACAATATTGTTATCATAACTAACCTGTTTTTTAGTGCCAAAATCCAACCACTGAAACATAGGTTCGAGTCCAGTTCAGTGGTATCACAAATCTTAATGTAGTGTGTACATACCTCTTGGCAAAGAATATAAACTTGTACTTGTTAATCAAGTCGGATACTTAAGTTCCTATACGTAAGCAGATACTTTATTGATGGACTGTGTGACAGATTTTACATATTTTTCTTCATAAATTATTCATTGAAACCCCGTGTAAATAAAGCACCAAACACTTCTTCACGTAATCCATTGTTTTTCTATACAGAGTAGCAACTAATATGTCATCAACATTTGCCACAAATCTATTATTCCTTTCAGCAGCTTGGTAAATTTTGTATATGATTAAGGTAATTTTTCAAAAAAAAAAGAAGTTAAGCAAAGATGGATAGTGGCTAGCAGTGGAAACCAGGACGCGCGTTTCGTCCTATTTGTGACTCGTCAGCTGTATGTACCTGCATCTCAGAGTTGATGTAGGCTATATCGAGGCAATACGCACAGTATGCACATATGCCAATTAGAGACTGACCAGTTGCAGTCCTAAAAACATCAATGGGAAGATCCTAACAAACAATACTAAGTAAATTTGAAAATGAAGTTAGTTCAAGATTTATTATGAAATGAATAGTATTAAACAGTCGTCTTAACACCATTTGAAACAAATTTTCTATTCTATACCAGATAAAGCCCATAGCTCACAGGTTTAATATATTAATACAATCATGAGAGAAGCGAGACCTGAAAGTCCTGAATTCTATTGTGAGTGTAATTGTAAAAGCATACTGTTGATTAGTTCTAAAGCAGAACAAAACAATCGTCATGATTACCAATACTTTCCCAACTAAAGTCATTTCTTGATGACAACATCATCTTTGAATTTTTTCAAAGTTAACCTATTGAAATTTGTACAATTATTATATCACTCAGATATAAACATGGGTTCAGAAAAAATATCTAAGAGGTTACGTTTAACATGGAATGGAGAAATGTTGAATTGTATGTTAATATCTAAATTTAATCGTTGAAACTATGAGTTGATGTTTGCTAGACCACCATTGAAAACCTGGAAACACTGCACGTCAATCTTGTCCTAGTCTGTGACTCCTCAACAGTGCGCATCCGCGATCCCTCATGTGTGACTCAAATCCAGAACCTCCGGTCTCTCACGCGAACGCTTAACCTCTAGACCATTGATCCGTCATCCAATGGACTTAATGTCTAACTTCAATCAATCCATGATCGTGGATATACAATACTGAGGAGTTCCATACAAGAACGAAACGACCGTTCAGTGCTTTCAGGTTTTCAATGGTGGTCTAGCTTATATCGACTCATAAATTCAGCTAATAAAAACACTACAATCTCCACAAACCTTCATTCTAATATCTAATTGTTTTCTTTTTTTCTTACTAAGTTAAAAAAAAACTGTCTCCAAAAGTCCTAATCCAATACTTTTATATTCCCAATCCTTCCGGTTTATATGTAATCGGTTTATCTTACAACCGTTAGATATTAAATTTTGTTACATTTATTACAACCGTATTAAATTGGATGAACTGCCTACAGCCATAGACACACATAAAAGCACAAACATACAAAAACATTTTCAGAAGGGGATTTTGTGGAGATTTTAGCAATTTTATATAGTTGAAATTATGAGTCAATTGAAGTTAGACATTAACACTGTTGGATGCCGGCTCAGTGGTCTAGTGGTTAAGCGCTTACGCGCGAGGTCCTGGGTTCGAATCTCGCGAGGAGGGATAGTGAATGCGCACCACTAAGGAGTCCCACAATAGGACGAAACGGCCGTCCAGTGTTTCCAGGTTTTCCATGGTGGTCTAGCTTCAATTAATTCATGAATTCAACAATATAAAAATACAAAAACATTTCCAAATTTATAGTGATGATGAGAGGAATAAAATCCTACATCATTTAAATTCGTTTTGAATTTGTCTTATTATCTCAGTAATTAACCATTTTATGATCGAACTAATAAAGGAGCTACAATGATCATGATCTTTTAGAATAAACGATCAATAACGTTGACAACTATTCACAATTGAATAAAAACATGTTGATAGTTTGGTCGCAGCTTTTTCAAGGATAAGCTTGGACCAAATTACCAGGCTAAACGTTGAATGTAGATAGTTTACTTAAATAATTCTTATTTAATAAATGAATGAAAGTTAATTAATTTGAAAATTATTACTCCTCACAAAAATCGATTATACTGTAAGTTCCTTTATAGAAAATATAAAGAAAATTGATCAGCTGTTTCTATCCAAATCAATAGTTTCATAAACTTACTTACGCCTGTTGTCCCTCATGGAGGAGCATAGGCCACCTACCAGCATTCTTCATAGAACTCCGTCCTAGGCAAAGTTAGTTAAAATAGTGTATTTTATGAGTAAAAATATAGTGACCAGTGAGGTTATCGAAATAATAATAATATTCATCAGAAGATGATCGAATACATCGATTGACGTTATTATTTCATAGATCATGTGATTAAAATTAACACCGGATTAATCGAAGAACACAATATATATGAATGATCAGAAGGGGTTTTGTGGAGATTTCAATATTTTCATAGTTGAAATCATGAGTCAGTTGAAGCTAGACCATCAAGGAAAACCTGAAAGCACTGGACGGCCGTTGTGGGAGTCCTCAGCAGTGCGCATATATGAATGAATTAAACCTGATTTGCGCAATTAAGGACTGATATAGAAATTAGAGAATTTTACAATTATTAAGATTAATTATTCATTAATTATTAATGAAAAAAGTGAAGTGGGACAACTGAAAGAATTGGAAGTGTAGTGAAAAAGTGTAATTATTCGGCAATGAAGTATAAATCTATCTTTGCTTATAATCATAATCCAGTAACGATTCTCAATAACCTTCATTCTTAACTTCATTCAATTTATGATCTATCATTATTCTTACTTGATTTTTCTCTTGATCTGAGGTTAAGTCATGATAAAAATTACAATTTCAATCAATCAACACAAATCACTTTTTTCTTTTGTTTACTTTACATCAAACATTAGATGAAATAATAATATTGTACAGGTCATGGTGGAGAAGATTTGTAGCTCAGGTGGATGATTTTGATGGAGTTTTGTTCTATGAACTGGTTGGTTTGGTGGTGGAGCTTTCGTCGTCCTTCTGAACGACATCATCAGCACAAACTTCGGGTAGAAGTGAAGTGTTTGAATTTTTCCACATATGGTTCACAGCTTGTCCTGTGCACCTCGATGTTGTTGTCATTGGTTAGAAGTAAGGATAGAGTTTCTTTTGCTAAGCTTGGTTCAATTAAAATGAATAGCGCCGTTACGTCGAAAGATATCATTAGCTCGTCGTCGTTGATTTGAATGTTCTTAATCTGATCAAGGAATAGTATGGCGGATTTGATGGAATGGTTCGATGAACCCACTAAATGTTTCTCTATTCTTGAGATTTCTCTTGAAAAATTGTACGTTAGTGTTCCCGTTAGTGCTACAACATCAAGGTGCACAAGACAAGCTGTGAACCACATGTGGAGAAATTCGAACACTTCACTTCTACTCGAAATTTGTGTTAATGATGTCCTTCGGAAGGACGATGAAAGCTCCACGATCAAACCATCTAGCTCAGAGAACAAAACTCCATCAAAAAACAAATTGTACAAGTCAATTTAAAACTATTTAACAAATAATGGTACATCATTGTTTTTAAGATTTTGAATAAAATAGACTTGACATCTATAGATTTGACACCTATATTCGGTAGAAAACAAATCGACATATATATAAGGTCATTTAAGGTCACTACTAGTTACAGAAGCACAAGACACATACAAATATAGATAGATAGATATAGATGTATGCGGATTTATGAGTTCTGTTTTTGTTTAACTTTCTCTAAATAATATTTGTCGAATCAATGAGTGTTGTCTAAGAAAGTTGAGAAGCATTCCTTCCTTCCTTTGTTTATCAAATATTTGTTTAGGAATGTTCGAAAGGCTGAACAAATGAAAAAAAAAACAACTATAAAGGTAGATTTGAGAATCCTTCATCGATCAGCTTCCATCTCTTAAAAGGTTTTTAATTATTTAGATTAAATTTATCGAGAGTAATCAATATTGATGAATTGATCAAATGAGAAAGGTATTATAGATGATTACTGATAACAGTGGATAATAGTGGTCCTTTACCGTTCAGTTTTGATATAACAATGAAACTCATTGTTATATTCACCAAGGTTCCATTCGTTGTGAATGTGGACAGAATGTAGAAGTAGCCAATAGTATGTATAGTTATTCTTCCTAATTTTTACATTCTCATTTAACTGAAGAAAAAAACATATAGACGAAGTACCTGAGGTGATTTCTGGCTTACTGCTACAAGTGAACTGCAACCATAAAAATGCGGAACGTTTCTTCCGATACTTAAGGAGTAAATCATCTTGGTTCTTTAAGTTAGTTAGATATGGTTCAGTAAATAGTCACAGTTGAGTTCGTTATGCAAGTTTTAGAAATACAGCATGCACCATATGGTAGGGGATTCCCGAGGTTATTAATATGTGATACCGGGTTTGGGACGTAGTTCAAATATTAAAAGTTTCAACATGTAAGTTGAAGTGGAACTTAAAGAGATCGGAAATAAGATTTCATTGGGGTGTGCATTGGGGTGAAGTTTGAATTCACTTAGTATTGTTTATTTGAATCTTTCCATTGATGTTTAAGACTGAAACTGGTCAGTCTCTTATGGCTATCAGGACTCAGTAGCTGAGTGGATAACACGATGACGTTTGAAGCGAAAGGTACTGGGTTTGATTTCCCAAGTGAACATCAACTCTGAGATGCAGGTACATCCACCTGACAAGTCCCAAATAGGACGAAGTGACGCGCGTCCTGGATTCCACTGTTAGCCACTATCCATCTTTGCAAACAATCTAAAGTAGTTGTTTACAAAAAGTTTTCTTTTTAATCTACAAAAGTCCTTGAAATGAAATTACGTCATTTCAAAGTTGAAAGATATTGATAGACTATTGCTTGAAAATTGAATGTTACCCTCGTTTCATGACATTAAACTCTACTAAATTTTTTTTCTGTTTCTTTCTTTTCTTTTCATTATTATGACTACTTAAAGATTTTACTTAATAAATTTCGTGAAGCATTAAAACAAACCGCTGAACCATTGAAACAATTAATTACTATAGCTGATCGTGATGGAATGTTTTTAAATCAATATTTAGCATTCATTTTTTATTCAAAATTAACATTCTATCAGAAATTATATGAATCTCAAAGAAATGATTACTTGGTAACTATTTAAAAAAACAACGTCCATCCATGCTCATTTATAAATGTGACATTTGATTTAAAAAGGGCCTTGACAACTAAAAAAATACTGAATACAAGTATCCCTATTATTGAATATTGAACATTTGTTTATGATAATCATATATCAATTAAGGGAAAAACAAGAAAAAGAAGAAGATATAAACAAATCATAAATGAATATTGTTAAAGTTTTTTTAAATTTGAATGTAACCACAAAATTGTATTCCTTTTTTTATATTTTACATAAATTTGAAGAATTGAACCCTTCAAAATTTCTTGATTTATTTGTTTAAACGTGTTACAACTTGTGGCCGAGTGGATGCTCAGTTAATGTATGACGTGATAAGACCGCCAATCAGAAAGCAGCGAATTATCGATTGGAATAGTGATATACGAAAACCGTACGATTAGTCTAGAGTACGTATCGGTCCTTCTTCTGCCTAGCCCAGCCAGTTAAGTCCAGAACACCAATAACAGCCTCTGTTGTATGAATCATTGTATTTCAAACATATTGAGTTTATATACTAAACAAACAAACCGCATCGCACCAATAAAATAGAAAATAACATTTGTACAAGATTTGGCCAAATGCGGCTGTGAATGTGGGAGGCAGTAATTAATAGACTAGGGATAACTCAAGAATGGTAAATCATATAACAATAGTTTATAGAACTTATAGAACTTGGGTTATCCTAAGAAGTTCAAAGAATTCACCTGAAATTTAGAAACTACTGACAACATGACAATCAATCAGACGAGGAGTCTGTGGAGATTTCAAATTAAACCAAAAATAGCTGGAAAATTATTAAAAACGAGAAAGGACTAAACAACTATTTTTATTCTTAGTTTGAGTTCGCTTTTGACTGAGATTTCGTACACACATCTTATGGTTGGAATAGAAAAACCTAAACTATGACAGTATTAGAACTTGAAATCCGTAATTTGTCTCAACAGCTCTTTCTAAATTCAGCTATTAGACGTGATAATTTGATAGCCAGAGTGGATATGTTTAGGAAACCTATTAGAATGTTTCAGCATATATCTACTCTTGATTCTGTGTGTTATATCTAGAGCTTTGATTCTTGCTATGCCGCCCACTGCTAGACTACTTGAATGATCGAACCCGCAACGTCGCACGAGAGAAGACAGAAGATTAATGAGTAGGAATGTCTTTCCCAACACAGTGTCAATTATGGTACAAAACTATCAGGTATTTGTAGTTTATGGTAAAAACGAAATCATCATTATAGTTATCCAATTCGCACACAGGGGGTTGTTAGCATTGTTCAATAGGGAAGCTACACGTAGTGATTCTGGAACACTCTTCCAAAAGCTGATTGGATCCAATGTGTTCGGCTTCCTCTGAGCTTCTTAGAGCTTCCTCAAGTTCATTGTGGACCGTCCTCACACATCCCTCCTTTAAAATCTGTTGTGCAAGACTTTTTTCTCGGATCCACCTGAAACTGGGTTACCACATTCCTCTTGCGGCTCATCACTCTCAAAGGTTGTACTGCTTTGCCCTTGAGTCGTCTATCTCTTCTACATTTGCGCGCCTGAGGGCTTTTTCGAGATGAATCCACGAGCAATTGAAAAAGTAGTCGGTTTTGTTGGATCAATGTTCTGCCGTCCCTTCGAATTTGATTTATGTGTCTTATACACGTTCCGACATTCCCCCAGATTAGGTACAGTACACTTCCGATCGGACGTTCTATAACACCTGATTTCCACTTCCTTTCACCTTGATACGATTTAACAAGTACCCTTTCACTCACATGGAAGCTACGAGTGACCATACGATACTAATTCGTGGGTTTATTTGTCTTCCTGGGTGTCAACATACTGCTAAAGACTGTCCGAGATTTCCTTCCGAACATACACTCGGCTGGTGACTTTCCTTCTGGTACTGCTGGATTAGGGGTAACTCTGTAAGACATTAGGAACTCGCTGATTACTTGTTCTGGGATACCCTCTCCTCCCCCTTTGACTAAAGCTCTTTTTATTGTATCCACGAATCTTTCTGCTCGGCCATTCGTCTGAGGATGCTACGGAGGATGCTGTAGACGTGATATCCCATTTTCATTGCATAATCGTTTACAAACAGATGACATAAACTGAGTGCCGTTGTCAGTCACTAAAATCTCTGGAGCCCCAAAAACAAGCAAACGATCCTGACAATCTTCTTATTGTACTCTCTGATGTCATTTACGGCTTGTCATATAATTCTGGCCATTTTGTGAAAGCATCGACAACAGCCAAATAATTCTTGCCTTTTATTGGACTGGCGAAATCAGCGTGTATTCTTTGCCACATTCTTTGCGACATTTTTGTTCCACATCATGGTCCATGCATAGCTCCGAGCTAATGACTTCATTTTACTTATCCCTGAGTGCTTGTTATGGAACTGCTTAAGGATTTGGTGTCAAAGATTTCAGAGGATAACAATACGGTGGCCAAACATGATGCAGGAATCGACAACCATCAAGCAATCTCGTCGACGGAAATATTTTAAGAGATCTCCACGTAGTCTAGATGATAGCATACGTTAAGGTCTGTGACTTGGAACCCAAAAACTGTCTATTCAAACTTAACTTCTGGATCACGCATACATGATATTTCCTGAATAGCGCTTTAATTAGATTTTCTTATAATTTAATAATAGGTTCACATCATTTCGAAATGTATGATAAAGACTTCTTACTTCATAAATCTAACATTACAAATCAACTTCTTGGATTGGTTGAAGTTAGACATAAACACCATGGAATGACGGCTCAGTGGTCTATCTGTTAAGTGCTCGCACGCGAGGCTGGCAGGTTCTGGGTTCGAATCCCGTGAGGCGAGGTCGTGGGTGCGCGTTGCTGAGGAGTCCCACATTAGAGCTATTTGGCCGTCCAGTGCTTCCAGGTTTCCTAGGATGGTTTACCTTCAACTGACTCACGCTTTCAACTATGAGAATAAATTATGATTATTTTTAGTATACTATAATCATTTAATGTTAAATTATGTAACAAAAATGATATTTGGTTAGTTACAGTAAATTTCATGTTAGTTGGTGGATTGATTTTTAGGTTTAAATATAATCAATACTATACTATACTTACTTACTTACGTCTGTTACCCCTCGTGGAGGAGGAGCATAGATCGCCTACTAGCACTATAGTAAACTAAATCATTCATACTACTTATTAAATTTCTATATATACTACACTTTTAGGATCATAAACAGGAGTAAAGGAGAAAAAAAAGAAGAGCAAACTTGTCATCAATATGTTACTATATATTCCTATTCTCTTACATTACCTACCTTTCAGACCGATATAATAAACTATTGATAAAAAGGGTACTTTAGCTTTAACTCAAATTCAGCCTCATATATTTCTTATATATTGACTGATTAAAGTAAAAAACATTTCACAATGATTGGTTTATTAAAAATGTTTCCTATTTAGACCAACTTCATTCTTATAGGCTATTCAATGAGGAATAGGATTTTCTGCCCAGTTTAATATATATTAATGAATCTAACCTAACATTGAATACTCTCTATCTCTCTATCTCTATAAGGATAAACAGGAATACGTATCAATCTATGCAAAGAACTCAGAAGAAGGAAGAAATAACATACATATTAACATATATATAATCAACTACCTATCATAGAACATACCATATTTACTAGGGGAAAAAAAGTATAAAAAAATATCCCTAGAGTTTAAAAGAGGTAAATATTGTGAATGAAACAGGAACTAATTTTTAATTTTTTGGGTAAGCATATCATCATGATTAGTAAGTAGATATTTCAATAGTTTAACTTTCTTTTTTTGTAAAAGTTTCTCAAATTATTTTGTTGGTTACATTCATTTAGTATTGTTTGTTTTTGAATCTTCCCATCGATGTGTTAGGACGGCAACTGATCAGTCTCTAATCGGCCATATGTGCATACTGTGCGTATTGCCTCGATATACCTTAATTCATAGGCATGGTAAGCAAAGATGGATAGTGACTAGAAGTGGGATCCAGTTTGACGCGCGTGAACATCAACTCTGAGATGCAGGTACATCCCGAATAAGAGGAAACGCGCGTCAAACTGGGTTCCACTGCTAGCCACTATCCATCTTTGCTTACAATGCTTGATGGTTACAGTTGTAATTTTTTTGATAGTACCGTTTAAGAAGATGAAACTTTTAAAGATCAACTTTGAATGTTGATCTACAGATATAGAAGGTTATCTGAAGGATAAGTGATGAAAATTTGGTTATGTTCTAGAAGGGCTATTTTCTTTCATATTTCCGAATTTTCAACAATCTCTAACTATTGGTTTAAAGACTAAGTGGACCCATGAAAAACCCAATGGTTTTATAATTTTTATGGAAGAAACTATAGATTAACACGATCATAAAGTATCACAATTATCTACGAACTTCTCTTTAGTTCCTAGTCTATTAAAGAGAATGCGAGTGAAGCAACCATTCAGCATTCAAATTATTTTAATCTGTTTAGTAAAATCTGTAGATCAGTGTAAATGCCTTTCAATTACTGATGTCTTTCAGTAGTACATTTTTATTTTCAGTAGTTATCTTTGTAATGTCAATGTTTCACATAAACTCTATTTAAGGTGTAGCTTAAGTGATAAGTCTCATAATTCCCCCTCGAAATATCCCAGTTTATTTTCTATCAACCTTATTGTTATTATTTGAAAGCTATTGGAATGTTATATTGTGACTTATCTTAACTGAGTTACATAGTAATAACTTGCATTGACTATTGACTTTATTAGTTAATCAATAGAGTAAAGTAGTTAAGCATACAACTTCAAACCATTTGTATTTAGGTTTTTGCCCACAGTCCTCTTATTTCAGTCTAAGTAATCAGTTGATATTGATAATCCTCATACAAAAAATGTGATACTTTGAACTGATTACACTATCCACTAAACAACTTACTTACTTACTTACGCCTGCTACCCCTCGTGGAGAAGAATAGGCCTCCCACCAGCATTCTCCATCCAACTCTGTCCTAGGCAATCCTTTCCAGTTCTTTCCAGTTAACATTCATCCTTTTCATATCTGCTTATTCCTTAAACTCCCAGGGCAGAGTTTAAATGGTTTGAATTATTTTTTTTGGTTAGTGTTTTCTAGCGAGTTAGTTTTTCTACAGGATGAGGGCGCTAACCCCATGCCCAACCCTCCTCCTTTACTCGGGCTTGGGACCGGCAGTAACTCTAAAAGAGCTACAGGCGGAGTTATCCACTAAACAAATAATCCTTTATTGCTCCGGCACTGTATTTTTTACAGTACCTTCTTGTGATCACATGAATTCCCTCTTTCTAGAAATTCTGATTAAAATAACCCAAGGTCAGATAACTATTCATAAGTACTTTCTATCATTATTCCACTAAATAGTTAGGAGGATTATTAAACTAAAATACCAAGGAACAATATAGTATAATTTATATATCTCAGTATGTACATAATCAGTATATGTGTGTTTGAGAAATCAACAATAGTGAGTTTCAGTTATATGTAGTTACTGAAAGCATCTGAAATCGATTTATTGGAATCTTTAAACAACCGAAATCGATTTGACAGAAACAACAATATAGTTGTCGGTTTACTGAAATACTGATTCAATATGTCCAAACTCATTAGTATGATACATTAAAACTTATTGTATACAGATCTTAACAATTCATTACTAACAAGTGGACATTACTTTGCATTTATCGAATATCAGCTTGAGCAAGTAAAAGAATAAAGACCATCTAGTTATTAGACGATTATTATCATATGCTCACTAGTGATCTACCAGTCTCTCGCTTCCATGTTTTCAATGGTGGTCTAGCTTTAATTGACTCATGATTTCAGCTATGAAAAAGACGATTATTTATTAAACTTCTGGTTTTTATTGAAATCATTGATTTAAAAGTTGTTCATGAGTTTGTAAATTTGGTTTGAGTAATTTAAATTGTCTAATACGGTAAGCAATAATATGAATACAGATTGAGATGGGAATAAATTTTAAATCCTAGGAGTGTTTGTTTTAACAATTTGAATACACTTTATTGACCTAATAGTGTACAGAATTGACCTTTCGAAATTGGAAGGGGTTTTGTGAAGATTTCAGTATTTTTCATAGTTGAAATCATGAGTCAATCGAAGGTAGACCACCATTAAAAACCTGGAAGCACTGGACGGCCGTTTCGTTCTATTGTGGGACTCCTCACCAGTGCGCATCCACGATCTCGCCTCGCTGGATTCGAACCCAGGACCTCGTGCCAGAGCGCCTAAATACTAGACCACTGAGCCGTCATCCGATGGTGTTAATATCTAACTTTCAAAATTGATTAAAACACGTTAAAATTGATTAAATAACTCCTGTAATAATAATTAATGTTACATGTTGTCAAGCAATTCGAAAATATTCTCACTGAATAGATTCACGACCTGATTGTTAAGTTTATTCAGATATATATTATGGTGGTTTTTGTTGACAGATTTTACAGTTTATAGCGATGACAATTTAAGATTTATAAAAACGTAAGAACATTCAGTATTTAATTTAAATTAGTATAGGTATGGACAAAATAACACATTGCAGAATCCTAAAAAGAAGCATTCATTCCTTCAATATTACAGACAAGCCTTGTTAGCGAGTGACAGTTGGTACAAAACCTGTCAGATGAGGTTTCCTGATATTTAACTGCAACAGGAGTCAGTTGTTTAACACTCTCTGATAGTCATTGTTTCTAGATTTTATTTCAGGTCGTGACTAAAATTACATTCAAATATTTAAATAGTTAAAGTTAATGATTATAATGCTCTTGAATGTAAAATGTTTCATGAAGTGGCTATCACTCAAACGGTACTGTGTTCTAGTAAATACATATATTCATACAAAAACTAAAACCGAAATATGATAAGTCCACTTAGTATTGTTTGTTTGAATCTTCCCATCGATGTGTTAGGATTGTAACTGGTCAGTCTCTAATCGGCCATATGTGCATACTGTGCGTATTGCCTCGATATAGCCTTAATTTATAAGCATTATAAGCAAAGATGAATAGTGGCTAACAGTGGAATCCCGTTTAACTCGCGTTTCGTCCTATTTGATAAGTATATGATAAGTATTTTCAACATTTTATTTTCATAGTTGAAAGCGTGAGTCAATTGAAGCTAGACCACCATGGAAAACCTGAGAGTACTGGACGGCCGTTTCGTCCTATTATGGGACTCTTCAGCAGTGCGCATCCACGATCCCGCCTCGCTAGCGAGATTCGAACCCAGGTCTAACTTCAATTGACTCACGCTTTCAACTATGAAAATACTAAATCTCCACAAAACCCCTTCTGATAATTAACATTTTATTTATCGATCGTAAGCAAACTATTATTTCCCCCCCCCCGTAACTGTTGTTAGGGAAGGCAATTGAATTTCATCCATTTGTTTATGTCACATGATCGAGTGGGTGTATCATAAAAAAAGAAAAAAAATTTCAGAATTTAATTATTTTATTCAACATAGTTTAGTGAATGTATTTGTACTTTATCCAATTGTATATTGTTTACAGGGAATAGCATATTGCTATTATTATTATTATTATTATTATTATTATTATTATTATTATTATTATTATTATTATTATGACTTTGTTCGTACTTACCATTTATTATTGACTGTAGAGACAACAAAGTGACGTCAGAGTGATTTCATATACATTATGAATAAAAGTACTCAAAAGATCACTAACCTTTATTAATACACAAGCACTTCTAGACACTGTCAACAAACAAATATGTTACGTAACTAAAAACTTTGAGTATGAATTCATCAAATTTAACTTCTTATCATTAGACCCTTAGTATGTGTACCGGTAACTTCAATAAAATAAAAATCTACTTATTAGACGGGAACCTAATATATTCTTTTTCAAATGAGATCATGAATCAATGAATGTTAGACCACCATTAGAAACCTGGAAGCCATTTCGTCCTAGTATGGGACTTGTGAGTAGTGAGCGTCCATGATCCTGTACGCTGGACTCGGACCTAGGACCTTCGGCCACGCACGCAAACATCTAATTTCTTTAGATTATATAGTGTTGTGGTAGTTGTTGAGTATATTAGATTACATTGGTAGAAGATCTTGATTAGAGGGTGAATGAAAACAAGGAAGTACTAGACAGTTGTATCGTCCTAGTGTGATGTGGGTTACTTATATCCACATAAGTAGTATATAACGATGGGCATTGAATGCATTTTAGTAGAAGATCGATAACGAAACGAACGGGAACGAAATGCAATTGGTATGAAAATACGTGAACAATAATAATCGGAGACAATGGACTGATATTTGCGGAAGGAACGGGCAAGATTGAGACAACTGATTGATAGTTTGCAAATTAAGTGTTTACTATATGGTTCTCATATTTTACTGAGATATTCTGTAATCACGTCTCCTAATACATTCGATTGTCCCCACTCGTCTTATTGTTCACTACACTGGTATTGGACTCTTGTCAAATGTTTATCCACAACTTGACTGAGGATAGGACCCAGGATCTTTAGGTCTCGAGATTAGCTTTAAGCCTTTAGACTACTGAATCAGTATCTAATGATTTACATCTCTTACTTTAAGATATACGCGATACTGAGCAACCATTTTTCATTGTCTTCGGTGGATAAATGATCAAGTCAAGCGTTCATTGAATATCTGGATAATTTTAAGCAATTATTTGATCGTCATTTTTAAAATTATTCATAATTTATATAACTGGTTAAGCAATGAAATTTAACTATGTTGTGGGTGAGGCGGTTACCCATTAAGGACACAGAGATAATCGAACGATATTATAAATTATTTAAATGAGATATATAAGCTATTAGATGCCAGTTCATTGGTTAAAAGTTAGAAGACTATTATGAGACCTGAAGGTCCTGGAGTAGATCAACATCAGAGTTATAGGTATTCACCACTGAGGAGTTCCATACTGTTCAGTACTTTATTTTCAGGGATTGTCAAAGTCTGAAATGTAAACTAATAATATTTATATAGTTTAGATCATGAGTCAGTTGAATCTAGACCACCATTGAAAACATGGAAGCGAGAGACTGGTAGATCCTGGGTTCAAATCTCGCTCGCGAGGCTGGATCGTGGATGCGCACTGCTGAGGAGTCCCATAATAGAACGAAACGGCCGTCCAGTGCTTCCAGGTTTGCCATTGTGGTCTAGCTTTAATTGACTCATGATCTTAACTATATAAAAAATTACTAAAATCTCCACAAAAACCCCTTGTGTTAATATTATTTAGCAGTTTTCACAAATCATGTACATTAATCATTTGAAATTATGTTCTTTTTAGCATTATAATTAAATGCCACAGAAATCGAAAACTGTGGAATTAAAATAAAAACTATAGACACGAATCAAATCAGAAAAAAAGCGAAGACAAAGAAGATCAAACATTCAGCGGACATCATATATCTTCTTATTTTTCTCTAACATAAGTATAATTCGGAAATGGCGAGTTTCATTGCAAAACAACTAATTGGAAATCAGTTGGATTCAGTGAAGGGTAAGCATTTCCGTTTTGAATAAGTGTAGTGTTTCAAACAAACAGTATGTTCAAATTGTCCTTTGGGTTCATGGCTAATTGATTCGGTATAATCAGCTGTGAATGGATGCTAAAGATTTCTGCAAAGATTCTGAACTCACCCGGTAGTGGTATAATTTGTTTACGATAATTTTCGACAAGGAATCCGATTATACAATACAACATACGTAACGTGATTCCCAATTATCTCAGTCAATGATAGTTTACTATTTCTCCAATCTATCATACTGCGTCTAACCTCAACATTGATAACTCAACAGTTATTCCGTGTAGTCATCGACTTAATTCAACCTAACAAGAATGCAATATTCTTAATTTACAAAAATCCAACTTATTAAAATATGGTTCATATAAATTCCTCTTTAAGGCTGCTTCACATTGCGGATTATAAAACTTCAACTGGATCCAATTTCGTATTAAAACTCCCGAAATTTCAACTTGAATTCAGCCGTTAGTAAGTACTTGACAATTATAAGTGTGAGGGTTTGTGCAATCGTTGAATGTTATTGAAATCATGAACTGATTTAAGGTACTAACCGAAAACAACGGGATATGCTTGACAATATCTCGAAATGGTTAAAGTTAAGTATTTAAACCATTGGATACCATCTCAATGATAAAAATTTAAGTGTCTACTGCGACATCTGAATTTCCTGGGTTCGATTTCCTTTGAGACACTGGATACTTACTTCTGTGGGGTCTTATGCTAGGACTAAACAGCTGTCCAGTGCCTTCTGGTTTTCAATCTAGAGATTTTTTATATAACATTTTTCTCATTGTTTATAATACTAATTTTCTATTTCTTGTTTTATGTCAATTTTCAAGGTGCATTAGGTGATAAGAAAGATGAAGGTGAAGGTGTTTTAGGTGGACGTAAAGAAATTGATCCAGAAGTTGAAGCTGCATTACGTGAGGCAGAAGAAAAACGAGAAGCTAAACATCGTAAAATGGAAGAAGAACGAGAAGTAATGCGTCAAGGTATCAGAGACAAAGTAGGTGATCTTTTGTTGTGTAGTATCACATTTAATACATAGTGGTTGGTTTTTAAACTATAAACTATAAACTATCGCAACTGATTGATCACTGGGTGGTGATCAATGTCATACGTGTCAAGTCCTTCTTTAGTGCTGATCTAATGCTATCGATCAAGTTGAAATGTGGCCACTAGTCTAGGTGGTTACAGGTATGTAAATATACTCAGGAATTCTTGGAACTTAATCGATTCACAATTTTCACGTTTTCTGAAACTGAATTCATGTCCGTGATTATCATAATCCACTGTTACATCTACATGTAACAAGAGTAAGAGTAGATCTAAATGGAGTTCACTTTGTCCAACGAAATATTTTTCGTAGTTTGTGGAATTTATTTTTTTAGATTGTGTTGAAATTGTCTTCTTTTATAGTTACACTTTTCAGCTTACACAAAATGAAGTAGTGACTATTTTGACTTGTAATTAACTTTAATTTCAAGAGACTTTGAAATCCATGTCACGGTTTCTGAGATCTTTTTCTATGCATTATAGAACACTCTGTGTTCTTGTTCCTGGGGATGATTTTTTTCTAGTGTGCTGACTTACTAGATAATTTTTTACGAAGTTGAGAAAATCAATCCGAAGACTGGGGCGGACAAGAAGAGACGTTTCTTCAAATTTTCACGCGGTTGGATTTCTGATGAGGATTTCAGCTTTTCTGATTAATATCTCACACAGTTCGTTTCGTGAATTTTTGCTTTTGACCGTTATAGCTTAATGCTCAATCTAAGGCTCGGCTCTCTTTATACCTATAGTTTTACTGGTTAATTCCCGGAAGAACAGAATTTTGTTTACTGATATTTATTCTATTGTAGATTCGATGACTGCGGAAATATAGTTGATAAAATTGTGTTTATTATCAAGTTTGTCCCTCTTGAGGATGGCACGTAGATCATCTATGCAACGTATCCAAATCTTTGGTTTGTTTATTGGTAGAAATGTTGCCTCGAGTCTTTGTGTAGTAATCTAAATATACATGATCATATTGGAGTCTCTTCGATCTGCTTGTAAATCTAACTATGGAATTAGGAATACATTGTGAAATACAGACATGTAAATTCTATTGAACCTGACCACTTCATTTTTGTATATTTTCAGAGTTCTTCTTTGCTGAGCAGTTGTGATATTATATATCTAGGGTGTATCCACTGAGGAGACTAGAGCTGTCACTTCGAAAGACATTATTATTTCGCTATTGTTTAGTATTATTTTTGTTATTTCGGCTAGGACTTTTTGGAGTTGGCACATTTATCATGTAGTTCAGTGAGATTCTTCAACATTCTTTTCAGTTCTTTAGACAAATCATAGGTTGGAGTCGCTGACAGTAACACAAGCCGTGGCTTCTACCATAGATCTCTATAAATATATTGATGGCTCTGACTACTCACTAAAAATCACAAATCTTTCTCGTCAACAGTTGTTTAAGCACAAAGTAATCGGCATAAATGGATAGCAATTTAGCAATCATACTCAGATGTATTTTAACATCTGTAAACCACAGAAGTACCTGTTATTAAAAACACCACTAATAATAAAATGATTTTCAGGAAAGTTAAACTTGAAAGCTACTAATTTATCAGTCTCAGCCGATATTTTCCAAAACCGTTTACAACGCAGATGATGACATTAGGTAATATTCTTGTTAGGTCGCGTTATTTAAACTAAATTTCTCTCAATAGACATGACAAGCTCAGGAAACATTGAGGAGTATTTTATCCAATCAGCGTTTGATTAGAAGTTTTGCTTGAAACATCGCGAAAATGAAAAGTCACATGTAGAGGTTCTGATTGGCTGATTACTAAACTGCTACCATGTTTAGTAGTATTCTAGAATTTTCAAGAAAACCCAAGGACTTCTAAACCACTATAAAAACCCTATATTTTCTGTACATAAATGAATCTTTGGAGTAAAGTGCTTCTTGTATATTTTGTGCCTTTTCTCTCGTGTTCAAGTCTCTGTGTAGTTCTAGCTTGGGGGTAGAAGACTAGCTTAGGATCTGAATATAGCGTTCAACCAGTAAGACTTATCTAAACTTTAATCAGAAGCCCCTACGTATGATTCTATACCATAGTCTTACGGTTATAAATTAAAGCGGACAGAATGAACGTTATGCAACAATTCAATTCACTAATTCGTAGTTTTTTTCATATAATAGGCTAGTTTGATAAAGTGAGAAAAATAAAAACAAACGTTTAAAGTAGTTTGTATCATCCTTAGCTCAAATTTCAATTTTAGCCATTACGTAAAACTAGTAGATAACCATTGGATATTGGATTACGGATTTTTACATGTTTTATCCGATTGTTCTGTTAAACTGATCGAATGAAATCATATTTAAAGATGATTGAATCTTCCCATTGATGCTTAGAACTGCAACTGGTCAGTCTCTTATGGCTATCAAGACTCAGTGGCTGAGTGGATAACGTGATGGCGTTTGAAGCCAATGGTACTGGGTTCGAGTCCCAGAGTGATCATCAACTCTGAGGAGCAAGTACATCCAGCTGACGAGTCCCAAATAGGAATTGACGCGCTTCGTGGATTCCACTGTTAGCCACTTTCCATCTTTGTTTATAAATTTGATCTAAATTTTTTCTCTAAATCCGATAACAATTCACACCACCTAGCAGTTAAGAGAAACAAAAGGTTTTGTTTATTTTTAACCATAAGTTTAACTTCCTTCTATCGTTGTTTATAATTTAATTTACTTTTTAAATTAAGAATAGTGCAATCGATATGAATAAGGTAAAGTGGGAAATTCTTTTGGGATTAAACTGATGTCAATTTATGTAACCATTTATCGTATACAATTCTTCTATTTGACATATTCCTTCTATACATTCATTTATGTTTATAGTATGGTATTAAGAAAAAAGAAGAAGAGGTTCCAGCTGATTTTGACTTTTCCAGTCCTGAAGGACGTCTTGGTCGTAAACGTAAAACACCAGCTGAACTAGCGGCTGAAGCAAATGAAGCGGACGATGAAAACATTTTAACAAGTAAATTTATGTACTTGTAATATGCTACTGATATGTATGTTAGTAGTATATTACAATATTGGCCAAAATTAAATGGCGGGGGGATTTATTATCAACTAAAGCGTATGAGTGGAAATGCAAATGCCCGAAATAAGTATTTCTATCATTCTAGAACTTACGAGACTTTTTACAGTAGACAATGGATAAGATTAAGACCATTTTATTAATATTTCATTCTTGGTTTTCGAATAATTTACAACATACTACTCTCTAGAGCTCATTGAAGTTTAATATATATCCGCAATCAGAATGTGTATTTCCAGTAATTTTAGGGAAACGGATCACATTCAATGATAAATGGAATAAATAAGGGAAAGAGGGAGTCGAGTGTTTTGGCTGGAGTAAAATTATTGTAACCTAATAAAAACTGACTACCAGAAACTAGACATTTAAGACGGGGTTTTTCTTCACTGAAGTAGAATAGCTCAATTTTAAAGAGTTATTAAGAATTCACTTTATAATGACCCTCAGTGTTCACAAACTTGATGCTTCCACGTGGATTGAGTGGCAAGACTACAAACATTTATATTGGGTATATATCAATGTTTACATGAAGACTAGCATCAATGATCCAGTATATGAAACGCTAGAATTATAAGAATAAACATCTCCAGAAGGTCAATAAATAAACGACCATATTATGAGAGCCTATTGTTCGTAGATTTCTTTCTGTAAAACTATTTTATTGAACGTATCATTAAGCCACTCAGAATCTCAAAAGTGAATGTGAATTATTGAGTTAATCGAATCGAAAATGAGACAGTTACTGATTAGTGGTACTGAATAAAGATTGTATTAAAAGTGAATGAGTGATGTCATGTTCATCCATAATACTAAAATTTAATGGTTTCAGTATCGAACTGTAGATGAAAAATCCCGAGGCTTCAAAAACTCGACTGAAATAACTGGACATTTATCTATCTTTTCAATTGTTTGCCTTCCAATATCAGTGTATAATCAAAGCTACTCAAAAATCTTTTCCACCTCTAAACTGTCACCTTGTCCTATCGTGTATTATGTCAAATTCCTAAAGCTAGTTAAATGGCTATGGTCTCTAACTATCGAATGCCTTGGTAAGGCAGAGAGTGGGGAGGGGTCACCCTCCCTCTCAAAATGCTCTCACATGGCCACGCGTATATAACCTGTGTCAGGGAAGTCCTACTCACAGCCTTCTCGTGGTGGCGGTGTTGTTTACGAAATTGAGATGAAAAGCAAATGTCTGGCGCTTTAATCGGGTTGGTGGCGCATCCACCTATGAGAGTTGGAAAACCTTGATTCAAAGCCAATGGTGTACATGGGCTCCAGTATCCTGAGGGAACAAATGGCGTATGAACCAATTGTTGGTCACCGGCTACGATGGGACTGCATCTCCTCAAACAACAGTAGATAAATTATTTTTGTCAATTCATTGATGATATTCTCACATATATATAATCTTACAACCATAATTTCTAGGTATGTTACCAGAAAATATGAGAAATATGGCTAATAAAGTAACAGAAGTTCCAGGAAAAATAATTTCAGAAGCTAGTGAAAAATGTCTCCTTATGTGATGATTATCATTCTTTAAAAATAAATATATTATTTACTTTTAAACAATATAAACATGTATAATCATGTCGATACAATTCACATCAAAGTAATTCTGACATAATAATAGTCAATCTATCTATCCATCCATCCATCTTTCCATCTATCTATCTATCTATCTATCTATCTATCTATCTATCTATCTATCTGTCTGTCTGTCTGTCTATCTATCTATCTATCTATCTATCTATCTATCTATCTATCTATCTATCTATCTATCTATCTATCTATCTATCTATCTATCTACCTAACTATCTAATCTATCTATCTATCTATCTATCTATCTATCTATCTATCTATCTATCTGTCTGTCTGTCTGTCTATCTATCTGTCTGCCTATCTATCTATCTACCTAACTATCTAATCTATCTACCTAACTATCTAATCTATCTATCTATCTATCTATCTATCTATCTATCTATCTATCTATCTATCTATCTATCTATCTATCTATCTATCTATCTATCTTTCTGTCTGTCTGTCTGTCTATCTGTCTGCCTATCTATCTATCTACCTAACTATCTAATCTATCTATCTATCTATCTATCTATCTATCTATCTATCTATCTATCTATCTATCTATCTATCTATCTATCTATGTCAGTATATTGGACATTCTGTGGTAATTATTCCAAGAAAGAACTCTTTTATTCTCGATTAAAACACTCATTTATTTATTTATTTATTTCTTTTCAAACAAAAAATAATTTTATTCTAATATTGTAATACAAAACTGTATGTGTGTGTGTGTGTGTAACAATTTCCACTTACAAATTAAATTAGTGCCTGATTGAATTGACCAATATATATATTTGTATCCATATGCAATATGATTATAAACTTAGAAGAAAGGCTTATCAACCCCCTCCCTATATGTGTATCCATGTGTTTTAAATCATAGTCTATCTATTTAGTTATTATTTTTTTTAGATAATAAAACAAAACAAAAAAATCATATATTGTATGTAGAATAATAGATATTTTATTGATTTATTGAAATCAATCACTTTTTCATTCATTTCTTAATTTAAATTTAATTACTTTCATTACATAATATACTACTTAATTATTACTCATTAATCGTGTATCATTTATTTATATTACACAAATCTATATTACAAAAAAACCCTGTAATAATCAATATATCTATATTGATTACGTCATTATATTTATATTTGATTACATAATTTTAATGATTTTTTTTATAGATTAATGATTACATAATAATCATTAATTATTGATATTGTTTAATTATTTCATTTATTGATTTATTGATTTGAATAATTTAAAAACTTTTAATAATCAATAACATGACAATCATAAATCAATATGAATTAAAACAAAATAAAATAAAATAAAAAATACAAATCATAAACTGTGAACAATGCATAATTTGAAACAATGGTTAATTCATTCCTATTTTAAATATATAAAAATAAAAGGAATGTTCCATTGTCTGTTCATAAAAATAAATAAAAATTATTATTATTATTATTATTATTATTATTATTATTATTTATTAATATAATAATTATCAGAAGGGGTTTTGTGGAGATTTAGTATTTTTCATAGTAGAAAGGATGAGTCAATTGAAGCTAGACCACCATCAAAAACCTGGAAACACTGGACGGCCGTTTCGTCCTATTATGGGACTCCTCAGCAGTGCGCATCCACGAACCTGCTCTCGCGAGCGAGATTCGAACCCAGGACCTACCAGTCTCGCACCAGAGCACTTAACCGATAGACCATTGAGCCGGCATCCCATGGTGTTAATGTCTAACTTCAACTGATCCACGAAGTTGAGCAACCATTCACCAATTGTCTTCAGTGAGTTGTTATCTCACAACAGACGTGGTTTTGAACTCCACCGGTCACTGCTTCTCACTAGAGCTCCTAGTTATACTTCTCGATCAGTGGATCAGTTGAAGTTAGACATTAACACCGTTGGATGCCAGCTCAGTGGTCTATTGGTTAAGGGCTTCGGCTCGAGACTGGTAGGTCCTGGGTTCGAATCTCGCGAGAGCGGGTTCGTGGATGCGCACTGCTGAGGAGTCCCATAATAGGACGAAACGGCCGTCCAGTGTTCCCAGGTTTTCCATGGTGGTCTAGCTTCAATTGACTCATGCTTTCTACTATGAAAAATATAATAATTAATTATTATATCTTATTTTATTTTTGAAATATATTCCCTCAAAGAATTAAAATAATTGAAAACATGGTATTGATTGTTAACTTATATTGATTTACATTACCGTTAGATGATCATAAAAATGTAAGACTTACTGGTTGGCTGTTTTTGTCCCAATATGAGACTTTTCGAAAGTAAACATCCACGATCGTAACGATGATGGAACGCAGGACTTTTGGTCTCACAGAAAGCACTTAATCGGTTGTACTAATTGTTGTGACTTTATAAAGGCTGTGACCAATTTGTTATGACTTTATAAAAAATATATAGAATGTATGCTAATTCGTTATTGATTTTATGTCGGGCTTTTATCATGTGAATTATTCACCAATCGAAATACGACTTTTCTTAATACTGTGCCAAATCAATGACGTTCAACTGGTATGAGCAATCTAGCGTCTTTATTGGTCCCTTGTCCACCTAGTCCTTCCAATTGAGTCCAGAACACCAATTGCACCTTCTGCTATGCGAATCATTTATTTCAATCATACTCCGTTTATATACCAGACAGACAGACCGCATCACACCATAAAATAGAAAATAATATTTATACAAGATCAAGCCAAATGTGGCTGTGAACATGGGATACAGTAATCAATTAACTGAACACAATTTGGGAACAGTAAATCGTACTGTAATAACTCATAGGTCAACATGAAGCTTATAATAAGACGAATATAGATATGCGCAATCTAATTACTCAATAGTTAAACCGCAAGAATATATATAGAATAATAGTCCATTAATAGGTCCCGGAAATTACTCATACTTATGTCTTCGCTAGGATGTAACACTAATAAGCGTATGCTTACTAGTAAACAACTAACAGAAAATTTTTTTAGGAGTTCCATTATGAAGCTGTGACTGTTAGAGTTTAACTATATTGAGTGTGGGACAGTTATCCACAATACGTAAACTATTAACTTTTGCTTCTGTGATCTTACAAATTAGATGCTCCCCATGAGAAAAAAAAATCTAAATTCGATCTCCATAAGGGTTGTGAATATATGATGCTTTAGAGTCCCATATTGATAAAGAACAGATATCTAATAGTTACTGCATTTCAGTGGTTGTCTAATAATGGTTAGTCCGTGAATCTACATATATACTGTTAACACAGTAATAAGAAGATAGTGTCTATTTACTTAAATTCAATCTTATTATAAATAACTAAAAACTGATATGCTTCTATGTAGGGAAGAAGCTGAATCCAACAAATGAATATTTATTATACACCTACAAATGAATTGGAGTCTGAGAGACAATTTATGGAAAAAATAAAAATGAGAAGGGTTTTTTGTGGAGATTTAGTATTTTCATAGTTGAAAGCGTGAGTCAATTGAAGCTAGACCAACAGCGAAAACCTGGAAGCACCGGACGGCCGTTTCGTCCTCAGTAGTTCTTCACCCTGAGAAAACGCAGAATCTATAAAAAATTATTATGTAATACTGTCTGAGACGATTATTTTGATAAGCAAATACATAAACATTGTCAACATTGTCCACAAAACCCCATTCTGAAAATTTCTTATAGTTTACGTCAAACTTGATTTTGCCGTATCTGTTTTCTTACTACTTAATAAAAATAAGTAGTTAAAATAGACATAAATATGTTCACACCTTCCATTTGAAACAGATTGTATTGGTTACCTGAATCTTCACATTGATGTTTAAGACTATAGTTTATTAGTCTCTTATTGGCATATGTGCATCCTGTGCGGATTGCTTAGATATATTCATTAAGCTACAAGGATTATAAGTTGAGATGGATGATGTCTAGTGGTGGAATGATTGTAATGATTGTAACCGTTGTTGAGCGTACAACCAAACTTAATGTTTCCATCCGATTTTTCAGTTCCAGTAATACTTTTTTATTGCTATAATCATTTCAATTCTTCGTGCACCCAGATTTTCATACATATCTATATACATTCACAAAGTTGATGTTGAACGTTGGAAAATTTATCAGGGAAACATGCGAGATTTGTCCCCTTTGTCCAGAAATTCAGTAGTTAGACTGACTTTTTAATTTACTTATCTCACACTTCTTCTGTTCTTTCCATCAAACTGATAAGAAAATTAAAAAATATACTAAACGGATATGCATGAATTGTATTTTGAGTTGTTTTATTCAACTACGAATGAGTTAAATTTATTTTCATGTGTCTAAGGACTGCCTGAATGTTATATCCCGATGACAATAATGAATAGTAAACTGTTGGGATCTGTTTATGGTCTAATACCAAGGATATACTTTAACTGTATAATTGTTAACTAACTAGACTATTCATATTCGTGTCCCTCTTATTATAAGCTTTATTTTGACCCATGAACTATTATTATCCGACTTACCATTCTTTAGTTATATCCAGTCTTTTAAATACTGTCTCACATATTCGTATCCACATTTGGCTAAATATTGTACAAATGTTATTTTCTATTTTATGGTACGATGTGGTCAGTTTGGTTGATATATAGACCCAGTATGTCTGAAATAAATGATTCATATCGCAGAGGCTGCTATTGTGTTCCTGACTACCGGAGAGGGCTAGGCGGGAAGCAAGGACCAATAAGGACTCTAGACTGCTGGTAACGGTTTTACGCGACATTGGTCCGGTCGATAATTCACTGGACTCTAATTGGCGACATCGTCACATAATATATTAATAGGGCCACAAACCTATAAGATGTAACAATAAATATGAGAACAACAAGACAACTATGTTAGCCTATAGGTACATGACCAACCTAAAATACTTCAAATTGTGGATATCCT